ATCAATCAATGGAGGAGACGAGGAAGTTCGTGTGCAAGTTCTGCAGCAAGAGGTTCCCTAGTGGCAAGTCTCTGGGCGGTCACATTAGAACTCACCTGAATCAACATTCAAGCAATAAGACCATTACTGCTAACAATCCAGGCAAGTTCGGGATCAGTAACAATGGGTTGATGCTGCAAGAAAAAGAAGAGGAAGGAGAGAGATTTAAGCTCAGATTATGGCCTCAGAGAGAATCCCAGAACGACAAAGAGGTTTGTTGATCATCATCCCGCCTCACTTTACATCATAATAAGGAGAAGTTCTGTAGAGAATGTGGGAAAGGATTCCCTTCTTTGAAGCTCTATGTGGTCACATGGCTTGTCACTCTGAGAAAGAGAAGCAGAAATTGGCAATCATGGATTCTCAATCTGATACTGAAGCTTCTGATCTAGAAGATTTCAAGAGAACCAGGTTCATGACCCTTAACAATAATCAAAGTAACCTAACTTCTTCTTCTTTGTCAGAGGTTGAACAAGAAGAAGATGATGATGATGATGGAGAAGTAAAAGAGGGCTAAGTTCTTGATATTGTTGTCCAAGGGTCACTATAACCAAAGAGGTTGTTTTGGTTTGGAGAAGGAGTCTAATTCTGACAACTATTCTGCAGTTTTAGAGGCCAAATCACCGACTGTTGATGCCAGAATTGTCATTAACGATGGCCAGAAAAGGTCAAGAATAAGAACTCTGTCTATAATGCTTCTCAGCTTGTGAAGGTGGGAAAGGACAAGATGAAGTCGAAGTTTTCAGATTCTGGGTGTTCTAGAAATGGTTCCAAAAAGGAAGATTCAAATATTTCAATTGATGGGGTTTTCAGGAATGATGGTTTTAATCGACCAAAAGTGGAAGATGAATATGGATTTAAGATGATGTAAACAACAGATGCTACAGAAGAAGCAGCAGGAAACATAGAATCCAAAAAACTAGTGTTGGGGAATTCAGATTATGCTAAGTTTGATTCATTTAACAGTGCCAAACATGAAAATCTTAGTCACAATTTGGATGAAGTTTCCTGCAAGAAGAAGAAAAAAAGTTTTCCTAATGATGAAGACTACAACAAAGACTCATATGATTCAGAATCTTATGCAAGTGCTGAGAAAAGCACAGACACTGACTCTGATTCTTTTCCTTATTCTTATCAGAAGCCAAAGAGCAGCAAGAGTAGTAACACAAGGCCAAGAAGAAGTGATGAGAAATCAAAGAAAACAAAGGAGCATGAGTGTCCCATCTGTAACAAAACTTTCAGGTCAGGCCAAGCCTTGGGAGGTCACAAAAGGTCCCATTTTATTGGGGATTTGAAGAGAACCACAACAACACCACTGGAATAGTCAAACAAGATTCTCCTTCTCCTTCTCCTTCTGTTGTTCCTTGCCTGATTGATCTTAATCTACCTGCTCATCCCGATGAATAAGAAATCCTGGCTTAATTTTCATCATTTTCAAGCATCTGATCTGGTAGTGTCTGGACTGATGAATTCTGAGAATCTTTTGTCACTGTCCAATGATGAAAGTAAATGAAAATGATCAGGCAAATAGGTAAATCTTTTATTCTCCTTTGCTTTTCTTCTCCTTTCGGTAGGAGATAACTGCTAGTTTTTTCCCCCTTTCTCCTCTTGCTGCGAATGTTGAGTTCAACTTTAACCTTCACTGAATCTATCACTATAAAGAATTTTTTGTCTTTTCATTTTTCCGTTCCTACTTGTGGGTATTTTTTCTTTTGCTTTCCCCGTGCTTAAATATAATATCTCTATATATGTTGAATCAAAGCTTTCAGATCTCACTGGGGAACTTTCTGACAGGCATGATTATAGAAGCAACTTATCGAGTTGCTCAGTTTTTTGCTTTCTTTATTTTTAACTTATATTACCCATAAAGCCTTCCCTTTAAACCTCACCTAAACTTGATGTCTACTTGTCCTTCTCAAAAGAAAACTGTGGCCCCACATGCTTTAGAGGCACTGTATAGGCTCAATCCCAATCAGCAACTCAGTGAAATTTTAATATGCTTTAATGGGTGGACCAACAGTCTGATGATTTGATAAGATCTAGTGAAGGGTCAGGGTTAAAGTTAAACTTTGATAACTTGGAAAAGTGACATGGTTAAGTAAAAAGAGTTGCAACTTTGTTGTGTTTTATCTAGTTAAAACTGTTATACATAACATGCTTAGTGTGCTTTTGATTATGTGCCTTTCTTTTCAACCTGAACATATAAATGACTCTAATGTTAGCTTTTCAGTAAACATTTTATTGATCATATAAACTTTTGTCCAAGCACCCTCTTATCTGCTCGTGGCTAACATCAAATTCCTTCTCATCTAAAATATAGAAAACTTTTAACTACTTCATAATGATTAAGAAAAATAATTAAAAGTAATTTATATTATTAAATGTTAAAAAAAGTATCAACACTTTTCAGGAGTGATCTCCCATCAAAATCAATATATCTTAATTACTTTTCATTTATTTTTTATAAAAATATCTCTCTATAATACTACTAATAGGGACAGTCGTAAAAAAAGAGAAGTTTAATATTATTGACTTTTTATAAAGTGTCCTATATTTTATATAAATATTAATTGATATTTTTTCTTATCCTATTTATAAGTTATTATATTTTTACCAAAACCAATGAAAACCAACCTCATTAAATTTGTCTAAAATTTTAATAATTTTTAAATTTTATCTCTATTAAATATAGATATTTTAAAAATAAAATTTCCTAGCATTTAATAGCCTTTTTAAGCATTTAATAAGAAAAAAATAAAGACAAATATAATAATCATTAATGTGTTATATGATTAGGATTAAGATAGATATTTTATCCCTGTCCATAAATAACATCAAATTGTGTTATATCTTGCACCAGAGGAGGGAGTTGGCTTCCCTCCACTGCAGTGGAGGAAGCATTGCAACCTTATACTGTTAAATTAAATTTAATGATTTAGATTTGATAGTTTGTAAAAATATAAATTAATTTATATTATTAAATTTAATTTGAATGATTCATATTTGTAGTGTAGGTTCAGTGGAGGAAAAATGCAGTGAAGAGAAATCAAGTGGGCAAGGACCTACTTTATATATATATATATATATATATTAAAAATTTTAACTAAGGATCAGGGATGTAACTTAATTACTAATGAGTTTAAAAAAATTTAAAATTTCATTTTAGTCTAAGAAGATTGAAGTGAAAATAGTTTCAACAGTAAAAAGATTAAATTACTCTTCATTTGTTAATATTGTTCGAGATGAAAAATTATTAGTTGTAAATTATAAGACTTTTCAATAATTTATAATTAATGTAATAAATTACTAAATAAAGTTAGTGATTTAATAATTAATGTTGCTACCTGTGATTGAAAAACTTATGTTAAGTTTGTATAATTATTAATAGGTTAGTTTATGTAATTTGCAACTCATATTAATAAATTAACAAGTGAAGTAATAAAATTAACAACAAATGCTTATTTTAAATAAAATTAACAAGTAAAGAATACTTTAATTTTTACCATTAAAATTAGTTGCACTTTAATATTAGGGCTGAACTAAGGTTTCAAATTTCTTTTGAAAAATCCCCAGTAATTAAATCACATTCATCGGTTAGTTGAAACTCTAACCCCCACCCAAAAAAAAAAAAAATTGTATTGGGTAGAGGGATTGAAAATAGTGGTTGTTTCAATTAGTAAAACGGCAAGAGAATGTTTTTTTTCCAACGTGAAGTCCAAGATTGAGGTCAACCCATGATGTCCGTGACATGTGCAGGGCCTAGGAATTCTCAAGTCTCTGATAAAGGAAGTGGCTGATGAAGTGATGATATATTGGTTCACAGACTTGTAAGAAAATTTTCAATCTGCTTTGGTAATTGCTGATGCAAGTTTTTGGGATTGAAAAGCTGGAAAACTGGTTGGCCCATTCTTGAGGTTCGAGATTTGAATTTTTGAGATAATTAGTTTGCAGAAATAAAAAGAGAAAACAACTGAAGTTTTTTTTTTATCAATGAATAAATTTTTTTAAACTAACACTATAGTACTTGAATTTATTTATTATATAAATTATTTTTTTAATTTTTTAAAATAATACAATATGTCACATGTTATTAATAAAAATTAACTTTAAACATTAATTAATTAAAAAATGTTATAAAAATTACAGAAAAAAAAGACAAAAATTGCAATCCCAAAGTTAAAATAACGACCCAACAAATTTACAAAAAAAAAATGACCAAAAGAATCTTGACCCCTTTATATAATTGTTTATGTTTTTTTATATTCTTTTCTGATAACTAACATTTAAAATTAACTTTTATTAACAATAAAAGTTAAATTATATTATAATTTAAAGTTTATAATATAATTAAATTTAAAATTTATAAGGTAATTTGTACACTTACCTTTTTTTTTCTTTTTTTGGTAAAAAACACAATAAATATTAAATGGTGGTGGTTGCAACTAAGGTTGCCAAACACTCAAGTAGCATCACTCATGATTCTGCCGAGAGACACATACTGCGGCCAACAATCATTTCAGTTTTACTCTAGTCTAAAAACACTTTGACTGAGTATATTCTTTTTTTACCCTTGCTGGGCGCTAGTTTTTTTTTTTTTTTAAATAATCCTTAGTATAACAACCATGAGGATTAGTTATGAATTTTCAAAACTACTTTTATTTAGACTCATTAATTATATAAATTTAAAAAAAAATTATTTAAATAAGAGAACATTGAAACTTAATCACATCTCTTGATTACAATAAATTTGAGTGGTCTAACAATAGGAATTTTTAGACCAAAATAGTTCCTTCATCTCATTTTTTAAGGTATTTTTTTTAGGTGATTTATGTCCCAAAATATCAAATATTTTAAAAAAATGAGGTTTCAGTAATGATAATTATTTAAATATTAATAGTCATTATTTTATTTCTTAAATAAATTTTCCTTCATCTCTCTCTCATTTATAAAAAATATTTTTGAAATTTATAAAAAAAATTAAGATCTTATGTTGTATTTAATGAACTTCATTGATACTTGTAATTATGTTAAAAATTTCTTTATAGATGTGGATGAGGGGAGTATAAGATAATTTTAACTATCTTTATAAGAATTAAATAAAATAGTTAAAAGTGGTTTGTATTATTAAATGCATAAAAATTATCGTTGCTTTTTGAGATTACCCTCCATTTAGAATTAATATATTTTAATTACCTTTAATTTATTTCTTATATAAACAATTAATATGTAATTTGTATGGGAAAAATAATTTTAACGCTATTAAATTAAAATTTGAAAATAAAAAAGGTATGACAACAAAAATTGTTAACAATTTAAAACATCACTTGTCATAAATTGCAAGCATCACTTGTAAGTTGTAACATTTGAAAAAGAATTTTTTTTTGCTTGCAAAATAATATAATGGAAGATGGTTTATATATATAATAATTTAGAGACAGCAAATCAACTAATTTAAAATTTTAAAATTAAATTTTAATTACTACACATCTTAGTAAAAACTATTTTTTGTATAAAAATAGGCCTAAGTACATTTCTACTTTTTATCAGGAATTTTTTATTTTAATCAACAAGGAGAAATGATATCTTGCTAAATGTAACTTAAAATTTTCTCGAGAGGACAGGAGATGAATAGAATTAGTTGGATCAATATTTAAAATATTTAATTTTTTATAAAGTTTTATTTTAATCCTTAATTTTATAAAATATTTTTTTAATTTTTTAAGCATCACATTATTAATTTCATCCCAAAAAATTTTTTAAATAAGAATAATTGGTATAAAAAATAATTACTTAAAATTAACTTTAAAGTTAAAAAATTAAAAAAAAATTATAAAATTAAACGATAAAAATAAAATTTTATATAAAATTAGAGGATAAAAGTATATTTTAATCAATTTTAAAATACTTTGATATCAGGAACACAATTTCAATCACTTAATTCATTCAACGCTTTCTGGTCAAAGATAGACTAAAAATTGTGGAACAGAGAAAAGTGGCTTAAATTAAGGTATCAGATTGTCAGATTGATGAAGAAAATGTGGCCACAGATTTCTTTAATTTGTTGGCAGTAATTAGAAGAAGTCGTTCATGGAACCAACTGATTGACAAATTTCTGCAACAAAATTTCCAAGTGTCTTTCATACTGTGGTTAGCTACTTTAAATTGGACAAATTACTTGTTTTATTTGACTAATAAATAAATATTGTTTAAAAATTTTCAAATAATCTATACATCTTTTTCCAAGTTAAAAAATAATTAAATAAATCTTTGAAGGAAGTATTGTTTTTATTAAAATTATGTTACTTAAACTTTTATAATAATTTA